TGTGTATATAATTTGTTCACAATTTAAATACGATTATTTTCATCCTACTAAAAGAAACGATGTGAAGCTGATATTTTAGTCACTGGCTTGACTTACTGATGCATAAACAGTATAGAACGATTTTGAGAGAAAGATTACCTGTCTGAACTTGAACAATTACACATCAGAAAGTGTTGCTTGGTAGCTCGATCCGAGGCCAGCTCTGTATTGGCCCAAGTTGAGGAAACACTCGTGAAATGTTTGGAAATTTCCAGAGAAAATAAAATTGACCCATTGTTTCTTCAGAGGCTCAGATGAAGGAACTAAAAAATACTTTAGTGTTCATGTGTACATCCACACTGAGCAACTGCCATGCTTCGGCTGCGCAGTTCCGCCTGGCATTGAGGGCTGGCATTATGCAAATATTTGGAGGCGTACATATTAATGATCCCGACTATTGCGTCACAGTCGGTATTGTGTGGAGAACCGACCGTTTTTCAGGGGTGTTTTTCATAAACGTGAATTAAATGAGAACGCGAAAACAGTCCAGTTTGAGATTCACTCTATGTCATGTCCATGCACTGAACTCTTGTTATTTGACTATACCAAGGTAAATTCAATTTTGAATTATAGGTCACCTTTAATTTGTACTTGCGTAAAAACAAAAAAAGGTTTGGTAAAATGTCCTTATTGTGTTTGTTATTTTACAAAACACTTTTTGCTAATTACAGATGTAATCACATGCCAGTATTTTGTAAATACAACCTAAAAACATGCATTTACATGCAACGGGCAGTTTATCAAATGATTAATTTAAGTGTTAGCACATATCGTTAAATACTCTTAATATAAAGTGGGTATAAAGTTGTCTTTCCATGCACTCAATGGCTGGTAATAACATCAGTTCAGTAACAGTGAAGCGGTGTATTGAGTTCTCAGACTGTGCTGGAAGGTCAGAGGAGGTCACTGATCTAGAGGAATTGGATTGTGTGTTTTCTCCTGTCTGCCACACACACTCTCATTTCTGCTGAGTTAAGCCTGGGATTGTAAATGAATCTTTAGATGTCTGTCATGAATTGTCATATTTTAACCTCCAGGTTTTGGGTTGTTAATCATGGGTTGTCTCATTCAACATGAAACATACATATTTACAGGTTACACTGGGAAAATCCTAGACCTTTTCATAAGAACAACATGGTCAAAAGAGTGACCACAAATAATATGCTTCACAAAAAACCACAACCTTTCCAGATTACTCTGTAAAATGTCAATCAGTTAAAGTTTAAAACCATTTGATACAAAAAGCAAAGACGTGCTGCAGTTCACCTTCTGCTCCTAGCAAATAAATTGAATAAAGGTTGAGGAGTTCTTGTTTCCCAACCTGTTTTTGCTGATTAAATAAAACAGAAATATATTGTGTTGTATTGAAACAAATTTCTATAGTCTAGAATAAAGCTTACACAATTTTAACATTATAACCTTGCAACTAAAAAAAAAAAGAAAGTTGTGTGGTCCAGGCAAACACTGAACCTCATCCAAATGGTGTTTTTCATTTGATTGTGCATTTTCAAATGTAATACCTGTTAAATGGCAGATGGACTTACTGGGCATTTAATTTGATAATCATAATCAGTGATAATCATTAGGAATCATGACATGCATGGTTGCAGTGAACCGTTGTTATAAAAGAGTCTGCTAAAAATCTTGTGTTCCCATACAGGTTTGTAATAACATTAGTGTGAGTGGTTGATATCTTGCATAAAATTAGGTTGCGTCTTTTGACCTTTGGAACATGTTCAAAGCCGTCCCTGTTAAAGAACCATAAACGCCACATAAAAATGGAGTCCAAACCTAATCCAGTTTTTGAAATGGTTTAGCAAGGCCGTGGATACATAATACTGAATGCTGAGGAGAAGTGTAGAACTGGGTGAATTCCAGTACTAAGATACATTACACAAAGCCAGCTTTTATTTAAAAGTCTTGATGGATGTTTTCCTCAGGGCCGTGACGCATATGAAAAGTTTCCACCCTGTTTAAGGTAGTTTAATTAAAGGATTTTACATGAACAAAACTATTGCTCATGAGAGGTGAGAGCGATTCCAGTTGCCTAAATTACATTTGTCATCAGTGCCCAAATATATTTGAGTTTTTTTGTTCTGCTTTTTTGTTCTGTTTTTGTTTGATTTGTCTTGTTTTGTGGGGTTTTTTTTTTTGCTTTTGTTTTGTGTTTTGCTTTTTTATTTTGGGTTTTTTTTGTGTGTTTTGCTTGTTTTGTTTGATTTGTCTTGCTTTTTTGTTCTTTTTTGTTTTGCTATTTTATTTTGCTTTTTTCTTCTATGTTTTGCTTTTGTGTGTGTGTGTGTTTTTGCTTTTTTTGTTTGTTTGTTTTGATTTGTCTCCAACACGTAGTTTCTGGAGAAAAACATCCAGATCACTTGACTACAAATAACGTTTTCTAACTCTTTGAAATGTTTTATTGCCATGTAGACATGAAGAACATGTTTTTTTTTCTCGTTTGTGAACCAGTTGATTTTTTTACTTCGTTTTTACTGCGGAGAGCTTCAGGCTGTCAGTGTGACTTGTGTCAGCGTTGGCTGTAGTGTGCGATGTACTATGTCCATCTGCCATGTAATCTAACCCCTTTCACCATGAGTTAGTTTTCTCAGAATGCACGTAACCGAAGTAGTGGGGACACAAAAGACGTTATTTGTAGAGGGCCTTTTCATACTAAACAAATGTTGGTTTTGCTGGAAAGGTCACATTGGATGAATGAATGGTGTGTTATGCTGGTCAAACATTGTGCTTCAGATGTTTGCGAGAAGGGTATAAATGCTTGGTCCCAAACTCATCTCTCCATGGTAATAGATGCCCGGGAGGATACGAGCCATATTCCGCAACATGATCTGCATCAGGAGGATCCATAAGTAATGCACATGTACTGGGATTGTTATTTCAAATTGTTGCCATAAAATTGAGGTTTCCACTAGCCTAGTGGTATTAATTTGTGGCTCGCGTGATGTCATAATTGTGCAATAATCAACTGTGCTACTGCAATAATCACAGTCATGTTTTCTTGCGATATAACAAACATGCCTGGGAGGTAGGCTATAACTGTATATGCCGTGCAATGATGGAAATATGTCAGTCAGTGGATATTTGTATCATGTATACCGTGGTTTTAATTATTGAAAAGATTGTATCTTTCTGTATGAAAATTGTTATCCCTAAATTAATGTATTTGCCTTTTTTTTCTGTGCCATAAAATCTTAGATAAAACAACCAAATAAATCTATTTCTTGTATGATTTTAAAGGGTAATGTAAAATAAGTAATATGTCAACAGAATTACTAGAAACTGAGCAGAAATGCATTGAAGTTGTGCATTAGCCAATAATTCTCTATATTTAACCAAATGTTGCGGTTGACTGCTTTCATTAATTGTACCCTGCCAATAATGTTAGTATACATGCATTGCATACACACTCACTTTTGACAATAGACAATTGACCTTTCTCTAAGATTTGGCCAATGTGACTAGACATTTATCTTGAAGAATTTCAAACCCTGTGTGGCATTTTTTTTATTAGATTTTTTTATTTGGTCAGTGGATGCTAAAACATGGGCAAAAAGCCAAGAATGCATGCAACAAGCTTCTAGTGTCCCTTTATATGAACTCTATAAATCTATTACAACACCTTTACATTTCAGCTTTTTCCTCATGAAGTATTCATGCATTATACAATAACTCCCTAATGCAAGTATCATGAAACTTTTATCAGGATGTTGTTTCCGTGTTATGATGCTAAGTTTATGGCTGCATCTGGGTGTATGAATGGTTTCATTAGGCTGTATAAAAATGAAATGCACTTGTTATGTCTAATGTACATGTGTCATGAAGTTTTAATGAAGATAAATCATTACCCTAGCTTTATCTGGGTATTAAGTAAAGTTTCTGAAGCAACACTTTATTCTAATCCGTATAACTCTCTGATCTTTTGAATAAGGTCAGACCTCATTAACTTCCTCTCTTAGGGGTTTTCTGGAATGCCTGCGTTATGTAACAACACAAGATTGACTCATTTGGGCACAAGCCGTCAGAATGCAAAAACCTCTTTTGCTTAGAGATATTTTCCACAGCACGGAGACAGAGATGATGGAAACTGGCATTTGCATAGTGTTTTAGTGCAAAGCAAACAAAATGAAACAGTCGACTTCACCAAGAAATCTCAAAACTCACATTTTGCAAACTGATGTCTCTAAAGCATTTTCTGTAATCATATACAAATTCAAGCATTATTGAAAAAAATATTACAAACACTGCAGAAATTAGCTTATAATAAAATACCGAAAGGCATCATAAACCGTTACAAGGCGTGTACAAATTCATGTTTACAAAAATCTGCATTGATTTTGAAATATGACTTTTCAATTGTAAATTGCTTATGTTGGATTTTAAATGCTAAAACAAATTAAATGACAGTTTGTAGTCACCAATTTGTTTTCAAAAAACAAAAATTATTTTCATTATTTTCATTGGCGTTTTCATTGGCAAATATTAAATATGGCTTCTACTCTGACTTATCCATTGATAGATGCCAAGTCAACAATAACTGATGTACAGTCTTGATATACAGTCTGTTCAATGTTTGTTGACTCGATTAATTTAAATTCCATTTAAAATAATTTAAATGGAAAAGCAATGCTTCATGAATCCAATCAATTAATTGTCAGTTCAAATATTCACACTTCAAATACTTAATTAAAATGAGCTTTCACCCAATATTTGTTAGTGTTGTATTTTTATTGTCTTTAACTTAGCAGCATGGTAATGTTGGAATCAAACTTAAAATTTTTAATTAAAAAACCTTGGCAACTAAAATAATTAAGTTGAAGTACTAAAACTAAACTGAAATAACAATAAAAAAATCTTTAATCTAAAAAACTAGTAAAAAATAAAAGCACACAACAAGGTTAATAAAACTTAAACTAAAATGTATGTCTTTCGTGGTCTTCTATACACAGGTAGTCACTGTGTTCCCGTGTGTGAGATTATAGCGGTTCAGGAAAAGGAAGATGACTCTCCCAGTAAAGACACTGGGAAATGGCAGAAGGTTCCTCAGAGCCCAGTGGACTGCCAGCACGCTTTCACAGGTACACAATCAGACTGTCATCTGGCCCATGATAACGGGAATACATAGATTAAGTTTTATCTACTGTGCTGTGAGTGTATAATCAGAACAATGTTGACCATACAGGTCACCTTTTACCTTTGGAATAATGTGGCATTCTCCTTTGTGTTTCTCTGCAGTGTTTTACATAGAGAGGACGAGGCAGCACTGCTGGCGGTGCAGCAACGTGACTTTCCATTGCTCTGAACAATCCCTGTGTCTGCTCTGGGTCCAAACTATCAGGGAGCAGCTTGGATTGTTGAGTGCGTCCTTACTACAAATTGTTGGGTTATTTTCTATTACAAAATAAACTATAGCAAACAAAATAAGTTATTGTTATAGGTTGGTGATTTTCACACCACTGTACTCTGGTGCTCTTCGCATGTCGGTCAAAAATGACCTTAATTTTTATTTATTTTTTTGTCAGTGAAATGAATGTACTATATTTTAGTTTGATAGTTTTTTATTATAGTGTATTTTTAGGGGATTTTTTTATGCTAAATTATATTTACACTGCATTTTTATAATCCATTTATTCACTTTTTGAGCATAGACCTGAATTCCAACTTAAACTGTGGTAAATCTTGAATGCTTCAGAGCACAGACTTAAGTTTGATCTCTTTTCAAAGACGACACATGGCAGATTATTGAAGTGAAAAAAGTTTTAAAGTGAACTTAAAAAGTTACAGAATTGTACGTGTATTGTTATGAAAAATGCACAAAAATACTATTTTACATTTTAAAATGAAATATATATTTTCAAAATCACAATTACTCTAAATAGATCTAAACAAGTTGTTCCAATTTTGAGCTTGATATCTCAAAAAATGAGCTTTTTCGGTAAGATTTTGTTTGGCTGCAGTACCAAAAGTTTTTGTAATTGTTGCTTAGTGTCCATTATGTGTAAATTTACTGTAAACACGTTTTTTTATTTTTATAAAGTCAATTAAAGCCACACATGTGGTACTGTACATAATTAGTATTATATATTATAAAATATGGACACTAATTGCTTGTTGACATAACACGATGGTAACTCTCTTCCATTCAAGATGGCTGGCATTTTTGTTAGTTGCTCTGTTTCTATTGAAGCTGTTCTGTGCTCTGTAACTCTGTCCAAAAATCGTAGTCCAGCTGTGTATTAAAAATCAATTATGTTCTGATTTGCTGAATTGCTTTTAGTGTAGTGTAATTTGCATTGAGTTGTGCCTAAATCCTAGACTGGGAAAATAATTGTAAATTTAAAATAACTCAGAATATTTATTAAAAAAAATTAAACCTAAGTAACGTTTACAAGTGTTTTGAATGTAGTACCATGTGCAAGTGCAGTTTTGGTCTTCTCTGTATTGTCGAATCTGATGAAGTTTGTCAAAAGCAGCTTAATGAAGTAGTTTTGACAACCTAGAAAGACTGTTGTCAAACAACAACTCACTTTTAATGCTCTGCCCGCCTCTAATTCCACAGCCAATCGACCAAAGAGGTTGCTGGTGTACATCAACCCCTACGGAGGAAAACAACGCGGGAAGCAGATTTACGACCACAAAGTGGCCCCCATCTTTTCCCAGGCTACCATTTCCACCGATGTGATTGGTGAGTGCCTGTCAGCTGCCTGCATTAACATTTAAATAAAAAATGAGCTTTTATGCTTCACAAATAGATCTCCGTTGGCAAATGGCCCCCACCTGCCAACCCGTCCCAGGAATATGATTTTATTTACAGCGTCATCTATCACCCGAGCTGGACATAATGCAAACTGTGATAGTCGATAAACATAGGAATGCAAAGACATCTATTATTTATTAAGTTTGAAAGAGAGGAAGACCCTGGGTTGGTGTGAATATTGGCTGTTAGAGCTAAGGCTTACAGGCTTACTCAGCAGTTGCTTGAGGGTCTTTCTTTTTACGACCATGAGAACATTTCGTAAATGGTAAAGTACATGTCTGCCTGGACAAATACCATTCAAACCAAATCATTAGAGGAGCCAAACAAGATGTTCTGCCGACGGTTTAATAAGCTCTATACATCACCTTTGTCATATATCATCAACGTGATCCACAGGGCTCTGTCCTAGGCCCCATTCATTTTCAGCACATCCCTCCAAGTTACGGTTTTACATCAGTGCTGATGGTAAAGAACCGGTAATGAAATGTACCAGGGATTGTTTTTCACCGTGACTTCAGCTTTATCATTTGATAAAGATTGTTTTTCACCGTGACTTCAGCTTTATCATTTGATGTAGCTGATTGATGGTCTCCATCAAGCCAGCAGAAAAATGCAATTTAACTGCCAGATGAACATAATGATGCCCCCCCCCCCCCCCCCTTGCTCAGCCTTACTGCTTACTGTCATCATCCTGTTAACAATGGCTTCTCCCTTTTGTTTCTATAGTTACAGATCGTGCAAATCATGCCAGGGACCACTTGAAGACAGAGGCTGATCTGAAGAAGTATGATGGGTGAGTGGGCATCCTGCTGGGAAATTGTGGTCGCTGTGCGGCGACTCTTAATTTGCCCAGCGAGGAAAGCGTCCTCTGCAGCAAAGCTCAGATTAACATTTGCACATCAATGCACATCGGTCTGGCACTGCGGCAGATGACGGCGGGCAGCTTGGGAAATGACAACTTAAAATAAAGTGGCTTTTGGTGATGACAGCATGGATGCTGCTTCAAACCTGGGCCAGAGGCTAGATTCAGAAAACAACTTGTGACTCTTGCGTCTGGATCTTTTTCCTGTACTTTTCAACATGCATTTCTAGGAACTATGAAAAGGTTCCTCCGGTGCGAAAGCCCCTCATGTTGGCAAATTAAATAAATCTGGCCATATTACAAAAATTGGGATTACAAAAAGCCATTTCTGTTAACAACAGTATAGACACAATCCACCTTCACACAGTAAAGCTGTTCAAATGGTGTAAAATCATAAAATACACTTTACGGTACAGGTAGGACATCTGTTACTCTCACAAGCAACAATAATTCCATCTTACTACTATTTCTACCGCTTAAGGCCGTGACACACAAAGCTGACGATTGGTCAAGGTCAGACCATTGTTGTGCGTTTGTCAGCCCAGTTTTTTCGATGTTGGCACTAGTCAGACTCCATTGGCTGCTTTTTGGCCGATTGAGCATGTTGAACTCTTACCTGAGCAATATGTTTATAACAACATGGCCTTATGGGATGAAGATTTCGAGTTTCAGTTTCCCTTTTTGAATGACAAATATAGACTTCTGACACTTACTGGTATATAGTTGTAGTATAATATAGTTATTTCCTCTCACGCTGTTGTGCTAGTGCTAGTTACATGTTGGACTTTGTGGTGTGTTCAAGCACAAATTTCTGGCACAGATGCAAGTAACTTAGGTTAAACACAGTCTGTTTTCCTTGCCGACTTTCATTGCTAGTTCTTTGGTGATGCACTTCCTTTAAAATGCTGTTAAAATTTTCCTTTAGCTAACTAGCTATGGTTGGTTGCATCCTTACCTTGTACACTCTTAAATCTTTGAATTGTGATGTCACATAAGCCTACAAATAGAGGGGCCTAGACTAACTACATCAGCACTTTTAGTATTTTGTTGGTACTTTTGTTGGCAATCTGATCAAGTCAACAAGATCAACTTTCAGTCACAAAAATTAAAGTGATTACCTTTAGTCAATTTTATTTTTGCAGAGCATTTCCCAATTTTTGTAATTTGGCCAGATTTATTTAATTTGCCAACATGAGGGGCTTTTACACCGGAGGAACCTTTTCATAGTTCCTAGAACTATTGGCGGAAGTATCCGTTTTTTGGCATGTTCGCACCGCAGGACCTGGGAACGATTTTAGTTCTAGGGACTTCTTTTGGAGGAACTAATTTAGCTCCTCCTAATTCAGAGTCGAGTCTAAACCAGCACTATAGGAACTACCAGTGACGTTAGTGTACGCTGATTGGCCGAACGAACGTGAAACACCAGCACCCGCCATTTAAAAACACAGATTATAGCCTATATATTTACTCCACAAACTAACTCTACGAACATGGAAAACAGTGATAGATGAGCCACTGAACCTTTACGCTGAGGAGAAAATCCAACGCAACTTTAAGGGGACCAATCCAAACATGATTATGTATTTCTGCTCAGCTAGCAACACTGTACATTAACCACACGGCATACGCTAATACCTTTTCATATACTGTTTACTTTCTATGTATAACAGTTCTATCTAATCGCGTATTAGACAGGATTGTTAGACAGTTCGAAAACGAATGAACTCGGAGACTGTGTGCTCAGGCTCTGGCGTTCTCAGCACTTTCATAATAAAGCTCTGCCACGCCGTCAAAATAAAAGTCACAACAAAAAGTGCGGCTTGCGTCACTTCAGAGTTCCTACTGGCGGTGCGAACGCAACCAGGAAAATGTTCCTAAGGCAACCATTAGTTCTCGGGGAACCACCCTGGTGGCTTCCCGGTGCGAAAGCACCTATGCACCCTATCTTTCAATACAGGTAATGTTTTTCTCTGCAGTGTGGTGTGTGTAGGAGGAGATGGCATGTTCAGCGAAATTATGCATGGCCTCATCTCCCGTATGCAGCAAGATGCAGGAGTAGACGAGAACTCCATGGAGGAGACCCTTGTTCCATGTGGACTTCGCATCGGCATCATTCCTGCAGGTTAGTCTATAGCAGAGTTTCACAATCCTGGTACTGGAGCACGTACCCAACACACTTTGTGCCTGTCCCTTATTTGACACCCTTGAGCACTCTATTAACAAGCTGATGAGTTTAATCTGGTGCGCTATATAAAAGAGGTATCCAAAATGTGCAGTGTTGGTGATGCTCCAGGACTGGGAATCACCTGTCTACAATCACAAATCTCAGAGTCTGTGCAGCCAGGACAGTTTTTCAGCATGAATTTCATTGCTTTTTCATGCACATCACTTCTTTGGCTGTGTTCCTGGAAACATCTATTGCTCACGGTTCCATTACGTTTTGTTTTGAGATATTTCCAAGTCATTGTAAGTTTTACACCTGCTCATGGGCACAGCTGCATACTGGAGGAGAACGGCGGGAGATTATAGCTCTCTTTCAAAACCTAGTGAGCTGCCTAGAGAGCATGTTTCACGCCAAAGGTGCACTCCTGATACAAAGGCATTTTTAGATGCTATGTTTTTACCAAATTCTAGAGAGCCATTCACACAAAACACGTCTTTGCATTCTGTGTGTACTATTTTTTTTTTTAAGCGTGGGACTATGTAAATATACTTTTTCCTGCATCTTCTCTAGTTCTCACGTTTTAATTAGGGATTCACGAAATATCGGCCATAATATCGGTATCGGCCGATTCTATGTTAATTTTTATTGTTATCGTTATCGGCCCGCTAAGAAAATTTGGCCAATATATTAAAGCCGATCAATAATGGATTATTTCCTTTAGCTGAGACACTTCAGATGCGCACTGTTCGCCATGATGGTTTTGAATTGCTTGAAATATGATTGGAATCACTTCAAAAAGGAAAATAGTTACTGTTAACTATTCAGTTACTACATAAAATTATAATGAGAACATCATTATAATTGTGCGATTGGGACATTATGAGACTTTTGTTTTTGTAATCAGGCTCTCAAAAAGTATATAAAAATTTGGATTTAGATTTATCTGCTTTCAAATATAAAGAATTATCGGTTATCGGTATCGGCTAAAATTTTCAAATCGTGCATCCCTAGTTTTAATGCATCCTGATTGACACCCTAAAGAACTTTTTACACAGTTAGAGATACTCAAGACACACTCTCAGACCCTTAATGTTTTTACCATTTTGGAAGGAGGAAACTTTACATATGTGGCTTCAACAACCAGATGCATTTAAACTTGTCCAATTTCGCCTGGAATGCGTCTCAAACCTACTCCTGAAGTGGATCAGATTTAAATCCCTCTCGAATGTGTTTCAGAGGGCATTTACACCTGGTCTTTTCAAGATCCGATCGCTATGGCCAGATGTAAACGGGCCCTAAGACAGCACTTCATGTATCCTTTGTGGATCAGAAATGTTGACTATATACACACTTTCCCCAGAAAATCTCACTGACCCCAGACATTATTAATAAATGACCAGCCTCAACGAGCACAAGAAGAATAAGTAGACACCTTTACAAAAGCTCTGACAGCAATTGATATCTTAATGACTGTGCCCTATCGAATCGTGTTTTCTGATATTACTGTTAGCCATATAAACCTGACAATGTCGAACCCTTAAGAGTCCATGTTGTTATCAGTCACGTTATCCGCGTCTGTAATTCTTATCTCACGTTGTCCAGACACGCAAGGACAAGTGACAATTTCCAAGAACATCTCCTGGTCCTTTATCTTGCACTGGTGACAACTGATCTGAACAACAGGGGAATTTGAGACACATCTTTGACTTCAATGTCTAATAGATGAATGCATCATCATGTATCCTAATGTTAATAACATTTTTTGTCCATCTAGCATGGAAATACCCCGTTTCTTTTTTATGTGTACCATGATTTTACCATGTACCAAGTTCTATGAAGATTTAATAGAAACTTTTCTTTGATGTAGTAGTACAACAATATTCTTTGAAGTACAATATAAATAGCATGGTATATGAATATGGCAATTGTTCAGTACCATGCTATATATCAAAGTACCATGGTATCTAATACTATCACTGTGTAATGGTACCGCCACAGTATGATTTTATCATGATATATATTGATCCAAAATTCAAAAACAGTGTTTTTTTGTCCCCTTCGTGAAAACAATAGTGGAAATGTGAATGAATTAGTCCGGCACGTTTGCAGTCGGTGTGTTTTTAAACCTTCAACCTCATGCTTATAAGCAATTTGAGGAAGAGGAATTAGATTAACAGACCAGCATATAAGAGATAGAAAGAGGGCTGAACTCATCTGAAATCTCATCTCTCTATATAACAGTGCCCTGCAATGCTTCAGCTACAATCATTTCAAGATCGAAAAACTTTATTCTCACAAGGGCTGAATGGACCAAAACCTCCATTGGCTTGTGATGTTTGGTTAGCGTTCACAATTGAAGGTTAGATTGCGGCTGCCCCCGTATGCCACTGAAATTGAAAAAGAAAGTGTGATTTTCATACGTTAACCTTCAGAGTGAATTATGAGAGGATAGATTTAGGCCATTTCTGAACCCCTGACCCATGAAATGTGTTTTTTGAAACAGGTTCGACTGACTGTGTATGCTACGCCACAGTCGGCTCAAATGACCCTGTCACCTCAGCACTTCACATTGTTGTGGGTAAGTGGGCATCTCCATATCTGCCTATGATACATATATAGTATGTATATTTATGTGAATTTCTCTATAACATTTGACAGTTATAGCTGAGCAGTATGACAGTATATATTATGCAAGTGTAGAAATGTGTCAACTAGTAGAGATTCTGCTATTATGTTTTTAACTCAAGTAAGCAACTTGTCAATCATTTGTAAAGATTTATTTATTTATTTATTTTGGGTTCTTGTCCACCAAGTTCCAAATGAAGACATAATAATATTTTCGTTAATAGCAAATAATTATAAAAAATACTTTACAATAAAAGTGTCCTTTGTTACCATTATTGGGGGAAATGTTTAATTATCATATTAATTGAATATATATACACCACCAGTCAAAACAGCTGTTTTAAATTGTTGTAATATTTCACAATATTACGTTTTTTTGTTGTTGTTGTTGTTTTTTTATCAAATAAATTAAGCTTTGGTAAACATTAGAGACTTCTTTTAAAAACATTAAAAATCTTACCGAACAAAGCATTACACCAGGTTGAATAATGTCAGGATTTTCCTAAAATTATATTTTTGGAGAGACAGAGATCTAATTTTACAGGAATATGCACTATTCTCAGATGTGACATACCAGCACAGAATACTGACGTCATCAGTTTGTGTATCCTGAAATCCATCCTGACTTTTACCACAGGTGATTCTCAACCAATGGACATCTGCTCAGTGCACAATGAAGACAGCTTCCTGCGCTACTCTGTGTCACTGTTGGGTTACGGGTTCTACGGAGACGTGCTGACGGACAGCGAGAGGAAGCGCTGGATGGGCCCGGCCCGTTACGATATCTCAGGTACACAGGAAAATCTTTCAAGACTGAAATAGGCATGTCTTGTCTGTCTGCAATTTGCAATGCAATTTTGTATTATTTTTTTCCCCACAGGTGTTAAAACATTTCTGTCACATCGCTACTATGAGGGAACCGTGTCCTTCTTACCTGCTGAAGGAAACTTGGGAACTCCAAGAGACAAAATGCAGTGTCTGTCTGGGTAAATGCTGTACTGTGTCTTTTGCTTAGTCATAATACAATCCCATTAATATGAATATGAATATGAATCAGGGAGCAAACATGAACACAACATGACAAAACCTGTAAAATTAACCAACTAAGTCTGATCATCTGATGTGTTTCTATTATTGTAAACTAGGGCTTGGTGATAATTATACACTACAGTTTGGAGACCGTACTTTTTCTTTTTTTTTTTTTTTAAGAAGTCTATTGTGCTGATTAATTTTTTAGCATCATTACTCCAGTCTTCAGTGTCACATGATTCTTCAGAAATAATTTGAGTATGCTGATTAGATGCTCAAGAAACATGTCTTATTTTATCAATGTTGGAAACCGAGATACATTTTATTTTGTATCTGATTGTGATACATGTAGTTAGTAACATTATAAATGTCTTTACTGTCATTTTTGATCAATATAAGGAGTCCTTGCTGAATAAAAGTATTAATAAAAATGTAAAAAAAAATGGCTGACCCCTAAATACAGTCAAAATATTTTAATATAACGACTAAATACCATTCTTCCTACTTATATTTTTAAACCATGCCTTCATTAGTTTAAAATAGAAATGTACTTGTGTGTGTTAAACATTTTGGATATAATTGGCTATAATTGATGTTTGGTTAAATTGATGGTTCCTTCGATATGTATGTGTATACAAACGCACTACAACAATGGTTTTATATATGTATATATACACTCACCTAAAGGATTATTAGGAACACCATACTAATACTGTGTTTGACCCCCTTTCGCCTTCAGAACTGCCTTAATTCTACGTGGCATTGATTCAACAAGGTGCTGAAAGCATTCTTTAGAAATGTTGGCCCATATTGATAGGATAGCATCTTGCAGTTGATGGAGATTTGTGGGATGCACATCCAGGGCACGAAGCTCCCGTTCCACCACATCCCAAAGATGCTCTATTGGGTTGAGATCTGGTGACTGTGGGGGCCATTTTAGTACAGTGAACTCATTGTCATGTTCAAGAAACCAATTTGAAATGATTCGAGCTTTGTGACATGGTGCATTATCCTGCTGGAAGTAGCCATCAGAGGATGGGTACATGGTGGCCATAAAGGGATGGACATGGTCAGAAACAATGCTCAGGTAGGCCGTGGCATTTAAACTATGCCCAATTGGCACTAAGGGGCCTAAAGTGTGCCAAGAAAACATCCCCCACACCATTACACCACCACCACCAGCCTGCACAGTGGTAACAAGGCATGATGGATCCATGTTCTCATTCTGTTTACGCCAAATTCTGACTCTACCATCTGAATGTCTCAACAGAAATCGAGACTCATCAGACCAGGCAACATTTTTCCAGTCTTCAACTGTCCAATTTTGGTGAGCTCTTGCATATTGTAGCCTCTTTTTCCTATTTGTAGTGGAGATGAGTGGTACCCGGTGGGGTCTTCTGCTGTTGTAGCCCATCCGCCTCAAGGTTGTGCGTGTTGTGGCTTCACAAATGCTTTGCTGCATACCTCGGTTGTAACGAGTGGTTATTTCAGTCAAAGTTGCTCTTCTATCAGCTTGAATCAGTCGGCCCATTCTCCTCTGACCTCTAGCATCAACAAGGCATTTTCGCCCACAGGACTGCCGCATACTGGATGTTTTTCCCTTTTCACACCATTCTATGTAAACCCTAGAAATGGTTGTGCGTGAAAATCCCAGTAACTGAGCAGATTGTGAAATACTCAGACCGGCCCGTCTGGCACCAACAACCATGCCACGCTCAGAATTGCTTAAATCACCTTTCTTTCCCATTCTGACATTCAGTTTGGAGTTCAGGAGATTGTCTTGACCAGGACCACACCCCTAAATGCATTGAAGCAACTGCCATGTGATTGGTTGATTAGATAATTGGATTGAGAAATTGAACAGGTGTTCCTAATAATCCTTTAGGTGAGTGTGTGTGTGTGTATATATATATATATAACCATTTTTGAAGTGCGTTTGTGGCTATATTTTTTTCTTCTCTGTTGGCAACATCTGTTTCTGTTTGATTTGCAGGTGTAGTATCTGTCGGCAAACCTCGTCTGACAGACTGGTCAGCAAAGATGAAGACAGTGTTTCTGATGCTGGTGAGGACCGTTTGGGAATACTCTCTATGCCAATGTTTAACTGAGCTCGGGCATTGACAGGAAGTCTCATATCTGCTCTGTGGTAAATGCGCCCACCCGCAGTACAGGCCAACAAAGTGCATTTTCAGCCGTGATTTGTAATGCCCCCATCTGTCGGCTCGACTGGCACGCTGTTTGTGAACATTAGGCCAAATGGTTCAAGCTGCCGCCCGGCTGATCATTTAGAGAGTGCACACATACACACACACACCATATTATCTCTGCCTCACAGCAGCCCCCGAACAACTGGCACCTCCGTTACCCAGCATTCTGTGTGTTTACCCTGAGCACTGATAAGTGCTGTTTACAGAGACACACTCTCTGCCCTCACAGTCCCAAATTGGCATTTGTGCGTGATGATTTCTTGAATGCTTTTAGACCCGCGTGGCATAAATAGATTCTTGTGGGAAGAATGATGTAAACAGGACACAGAGAGTCAAGGGCCCTTCATCAGTGAGCCAGTGCCACAGCTATACATGCCTTGAGATTTACATTCACCTTACTTTCTTTCTCATTTTTCCTATTTTTAATGGGAGTGATTTGCCTGTGAAAAACTATCGCTAATGTGTTCTGAGTTTTCAGGGTGTTCTGGGTTTTCAGGGTGTTCTGGGTTTTCAGGGTGTTCTGGGTTGTTGCTCAGACATCCAAAATCTTGGAAAAGCTGAAAATATTGGGGAATTTTATTTATTTAGTTTTTTTTATCCAAATAATGGAAACTCATTCATTATCCAGGTGGTCAGAGAATACACTTACTATCAATGTTGGGGAAAGTTACTTTTAAAAGTAATCTGTTACAATATTGCCTTACTCACTTAACCCTCAGACGGTCTTCGGTCATTTATGACCGGAAAATTTTCTGTTTTGAATTTCTAAAAATCACAGCTTCATTGGAATGTTATGAAACTTGGTGACTTTTATGGCATTAAGTATGTGAATACAAAAAAAATTGAGGTCATGATCCAAGCATGCTAAGTGGTCGTAAAAAAAATAGTCACACTTGTGGTCTTCGGTCAAAAATGACCGACCCATAGGAAATGAATGGGAAATTGACAAAAAAAAATTATTTCTCTGAATTTTTGTGTGTACAATCTACAAATCGGCCACAATTCAAAAAAAAAAGTACACTGCAGGAAAGGGGTGACACTCTACTACATCTAGAGTGCAAAACAGACACGCCCACCCACCCACACACACATACAAACACACTTTTATACACATACACACCAATACATTTTGATTACAAAAAGTATGTTTTGAATTTTTAAAAATCACAGCTTCATCGGAATGTTACGAAACTTGGTAACTTTTATGGCATTATGTATGTGAACACACAAAAAAATTGAGGTCATGATCCGAGCATGCTAAGTGGTCGTAAAAAAATTAGTCACGATTTTGGTCTTCGGTCAAAAATGACCCCCATAGGAAATGAATGGGAAATTGACAAAAACACAAAAATTCTCTACAAATCGGCCACGATGCAGAAAAAAAAGTGCTCAGCAATGAAGGGGTGAAACTCTAAAACATCAAGAGTGAAAAACATAACATAATTAATAATTATAATTAATATATACATATATAATTAATATAATAATTATTAAAATTATTAAAATAATAATTTATAAAATGTTATAAACCTTGGCAAAAAGTATTATTTGAGAATTTCTAAAAAAAAAAATACATTCAATCCACTTCTTAAAAGTAAGTAATTTGGTCCAAAAACAACTAGAATTCACAAGCATCTCCATTTAGAGCTATACAGGCATCTAGTGGTAAACCCATGCAATAACATGATTTATTTAATTTTATGTTTAATAAATTTTTTTTTTTTTTTTTTTTTTTTTTTTTTCTGAAAACCTAGTCTCTATTTTAACAGAAAATACTGCATAGAAGAAAAAATAATAATAATAATAATAAATAAATAAATAAATTATTTTCAAAGGCAAAAAATGGACCATAAATATTGCATAAATATTAATAAGTTCAATCAAATTGTCTCAAAATACTAAATTAAAAAGAATAAATATTATAGAACAAAAATAAATTGCATTGGTTTTACTGGGATGGAGGAAATTTCATTTTTAGGTGTCCGGTCACTTCTGACCGGGAAGGCCCAGGATGTGACTCCGAAACGAAGACCGTCTGAGGGTTAAAGTAAACTTTTTATGTAAAGTCATGTGTTATGTTACTTTTGCATTACTTTTTCTCACCTGGGCTGGACTTGCTTGTTTTTTTTTTTTAATAACAAATATGTTTTTGGCAAATGTTAAGGCCCTTCAACCTCAAAAGTCTAGTAGGCAAAAGTCAAATAAGCCTCAGGCTGAAGGAAACGCAAATTCACTCATGTACAGTAGAGCGCGTTTCTCAAATAAACCTTCCAGCTGTGCAGACACAAGAGAAGAAAGTTCAACCCTCTTACTTCAGCAATAAAAACAAACAAATTAAACACAAATGTGATCTTTATCTAAAGTCATTTTTGCTTATTGGTATGGTTAAATGGGATCATTGAAGGTCAGCAGCAAAGACATTGGTTAATAAAGTGAGATGAAATACATCAAGTATAGGTGTGTTATTTAATGTTTAATTATCTTAGGTTTGTGTAATATTCTGGGTTTGCATTTAACTGATTCTTAAAAAACCATCATGTTCACACACACACACACACACACACACACAGCGCCTCTGCCCTTACTCGTGATTTCTCTCAACTTAGAGACTAGAGATGCCAGTCAATAAATGGGAACATTTGTGTTACTCGTTTGAAAAAGTAACTCCGATATTTTTAAAAGTAATGTGTTACTTTACTAGTTACTTGAAAAAAGTAATCTGATTACGTAACTTGCATTACTTGTAATGCTTTACCCCCCAAAACTGCTTAGTATACTAGAAGTCACATGATGTTGTTGTATTTCAGAGTGTCCGGACACGTGGACGGTCGTCAGGGGCAAGTTCTTGGCCATCAATGCCGCCAGCATGAGTTGTGCGTGTCCTCGCAGTCCTAAAGGTCTGTCGCCGTCAGCACACCTTGCAGACGGTACTACTGACCTCATCCTCGTCAGGAAGTGCTCCCGAATCGACTTCCTGCGCCACCTGCTGCGGCACACCAATAAGGCTGACCAGGTACCTGCTTTATCTACAACCGAAACTATCAGTAGAATTGTTTTAATGAAAGAGACGATGCAAATCCATTCCTTTTTTTAATCAAAGCCTGGGGAAAAAACTGCACTCTCTTTAATCAACACACTTCAAAAAAAGTATCCCCGCTGTCCACCAAGTGCTTACTATACACGTTGTATTAATATAGATTCATATGCATTTTTAATTAAGAGCAGGGAATCTTGTTCTTTGAAGTACGTTATCACAGCAGGGTTCCCATGGTCATGGAGAACCTTGAAAGTCATGACAATTAGTCTAGTCTTTTTCTATTTAGGCTTAACTACTAAAATATTAAAATGTCTAGAAATGGTTCTTTTGTGAGTACAATCTCTATCAAAACAATCTTTACCCAGTAATCACAAATACTTGGAAAAGTCATAGAAATTCATTAGCATTGGAACATTGGAACAGTCCACATTTCAAATGCCCCTAGTAATGTATTTTTTTTTTATTTAAAAACCAGTAAGATTTATATTTAGGATAGAACTAACCTAAATCAGTGCATTGATGTTACAGACCATATATATTGATTACAGTGATTGTAAGAATACACAATATATTGGTGTATTTCTCATCAAAGAAACAATTCTTGACATTTTCATTTGTAAATAAATGTACAGTATACAGATCCCAAATTTCTTTTGAAAATACGAATGACACCAAATTTCAGATTTCATGTTCATTCACATTTGTTAAATGAATCCTTGTCAGAACAAACACTTAAACTATCTTTGTGAAGTTTTTTTAAGGAAGTCTTTTTTTTTTTGCTCACCAAGGATGCATTTGTTTGATTACAAATACAGTTAAAACAGTAAATATTTTATATTTTTCAAGATTCTTTGATGAATAGAAAGGTCAAAAGACCAGCATTTATTTGAAATATAAATATTTTTGTAACATTAGAAATGCCCCTTTTTGTCAATTTCATCTGTCTTTGCTCAATGAAAGTATTATTCTCTCCCTCTCTTAAAAAACCTTTTGAACGGTAGTGTTTAGTGATATTTGACTTGTTCTTCTCCTTTTTCTTTGAACAGTTTGATCACTCTTTTGTGGAGGTGTACCGGGTCAAGCAGTTTCGATTCACCCCCAGACATCAGGAGTGTGATTCCGAAGTGGACCTGAGAGAGAGAGAGAGCGGAGCGGGAGGCAAGCGATTCCTCAGTCAGATCTGCAGAGAGCACAGAGCATGTGGCTGTATGGCTTCCCAGAGCAACTGGAACTGTGACGGAGAGATCCTTCCACACACTGCAATTCAAGTCCGGTAGGACACGCCCCTTGTCCAGATACACCAATTCTTACTTCTACATTTAGGCAGATACTTTTATCCAAAGCGACTTAGAGTATACCTGCTTATGAATTCATGCATTTGTGAATTGAACCCGTGATCTTGCGTAGCCATCGCTATGCTCTACTGTTTGAACTGCAGACACTTCCCTTGAGTGATAACATGCCTATTCTACCAAGACACACCCCTTGAACTCCCCTCCCCTTAAGTTTATACACTTACCTAAAGGATTATTAGCAACACCTGTTCAATTTCTCATTAATCCAATGATCTAATCAACCAATCACATGGCAGTTGCTTCAATGCATTTAGGGGTGTGGTCCTGGTCAAGTCAATCTCCTGAACTCCAAACTGAATGTCAGAATGGGAAAGAAAGGTGATTTAAGCAATTTTGAGCGTGGCATGGTTTTTGGTGCCAGACGGGCCGGTCTGAGTATTTCACAATCTGCTCAGTTACTGGGATTTTCACGCACAACCATTTCTAGGGTTTACATAGAATGGTGTGAAAAGGGAAAAACATCCAGTATGCGGCAGTCCTGTGGGCGAAAATGCCTTGTTGATGCTAGAGGTCAGAGGAGAATGGGCCGACTGATTCAAGCTGATAGAAGAGCAACTTTGACTGAAATAACCACTCGTTACAACCGAGGTATGCAGCAAAGCATTTGTGAAGCCACAACACGCACAACCTTGAGGCGGATGGGCTACAACAGCAGAAGACCCCACCGGGTACCACTCATCTCCACTACAAATAGGAAAAAGAGGCTACAATATGCAAGAGTTCACCAAAATTGGGCAGTTGAAGACTGGAAAAGTGTTGCCTGGTCTGATGAGTCTCGATTTCTGTTGAGACATTCAGATGGTAGAGTCAGAATTTGGCGTAAACAGAATGAGAACATGGACCCATCATGCCTTGTTACCACTGTGCAGTCTGGTGGTGGTGGTGTAATGGTGTGGGGGATGTTTTCTTGGCACACTTTAGGCCCCTTAGTGCCAATTGGGCATTGTTTAAATGCCACGGCCTACCTGAGCATTGTTTCTGACCATCTCCATCCCTTTATGGCCACCATGTACCCATCCTCTGATGGCTACTTCCAGCAGGATAATGCACCATGTCACAAAGCTCGAATCATTTCAAATTGGTTTCTTGAACATGACAATTAGTTCACTGTACTAAAATGGCCCCCACAGTCACCAGATCTCAACCCAATAGAGCATCTTTGGGATGTGGTGGAACGGGAGCTTCGTGCCCTGGATGTGCATCCCACAAATCTCCATCAATTGCAAGATGCTATCCTATCAATATGGGCCAACATTTCTAAAGAATGCTTTCAGCACCTTGTTGAATCAATGCCACGTAGAATTAAGGCAGTTCTGAAGGCGAAAGGGGGTCAAACACAGTATTAGTATGCTGTTCCTAATAATCCTTTAGGTGAGTGTATATGACAATTGGGTCAGGTGACACTTTTAGTACCTTGCATTAAGGATACATAATATACTCTAATGCACATATACACTAATAATAATAATAATAATAATTCATTACATTTATATAGCGCTTTTCTAGGCACTCAAAGCGCTTCACATGGAAGGGGGGAATCTCCTCAACCACCACCAATGTGCAGCATCCACTTGGATGATGCGACGGCAGCCATATTGCGCCAGAACGCTCACCACACACCAGCTTACTGGTGGAGAGGAGACAGAGTGATGAAGCCAATCAGTGTATATATATATATATATATAGGGATGATTAGGAGGCCACGATGGACAGAGGCCACTGGGCAAATTTGGCCAGGATGACGGGGTTACACCCCTACTCTTTCGAAAGACATCCTGGGATTTTTAATGACCACAGAGAGTCAGGACCTCGGTTTAACATCTCATCCGAAGGACTGTGCTCTTTGACAGTATAGTGTCCCCGTCACTATACTGGGGCGTTAGGACCCACACAGACCACAGGGTGAGCACCCCCTGCTGGCCTCACTAACACCTCTTCCAGCAGCAACCTGGTTTTCTCAGAAGGTCTCCCATCCAGGTACTAACCAGGCTCAGCCCTGCTTAGCTTCAGTGGGCAACCAGTCTTGGGCTACAGGGTGATATGGCTGCTGACCCAAGATACTAATCCAGATACATTTGGAAACGCATCTTTTTCTGTACATTTTGGCATTTTGCCACACTGAGGCAACATTTTTTTAAGTGTAGGTATTTTAAAACGATAAATCTTTTGTCATCTGACGCATATTGTAAAGAAAGATATCTATGTTTATACTAAGCGGCAACCTTCCAGTCTCTCTCTTGAATCTAACATGGAAGTGACTTAATCTGCAATTCATCGACTGTCCGCTAGAGACAGGCTCCAAAAGAGAGTCAATCCCATAGATCCCCCATGTTAATATGCCCAACTTTACAGCAGAAAAAAAAAAGTTTTTACAGCCTAGGTTTTGGTCTATATAGCTAATTTTGCCCTTCATGACAACTGTGAGGGGTAGGGGTGGCACGGTACATGAAAAAACATCCGAACCGTTCGGTTCGCTTGTCTCGGTTCGGAGCGTGTGTGTGTCTCACGGTTCGACGCATGCGCAATGTAGCCTCGTGCCCGTATGTGACCTCAGACGTGTTTCCTTTTCGCGCGAAATAAGACGTGTGTGGACATGCATACGAGGCTTGTTCGAGTTGAACCGGTGCTGCACAGAGCGATCGGTGAATGACATCAAAGTACCGCGAGCGCGACGGCTCCGCCTCCGTATGCTTTTCAATCACTCTCGCGGTTCTTTGATGTCATTCACCGATCGGTCTGTGCAGCGCCGGTTCAAGTCGAACACGCCAGTAAAAGTGGAGTATGGAGTGCTGCAGGTCACGTCACGCGGAGAAGTGGCAAGTGGGAGAGATAAGGAAGGCTAACCGGAGTTGGAGGATGCGCCAGTGTCGTATTAAGTCCGGTGTGTGGGAACATTTTGGATTTCATGTTATGATATTTAAATATATAGCAGCTACAGTGGCACTTTAAGTTTAGATAAGAACTCCAGTCATATGTTTCCAAATACTGCACTTTAATTTCAAGTGAAAAAAATGTATCCTCACTCTCAGGGAATAGAAGCATTGTTGATGCTGTTTTTGTGTTGAGGTTGAACTTGTTTCACTTTAGGATTATGGCCTTTGCTATTGCTATAGCCTAATTATAGGCAATTATGTTTCATGTATTTTGACTTATTTAAAAGACAGAGTTTTAAGAGTTCCTCTCTTTTTCTTTTAAAAGATAATTTTTTTGTAAGAGCTACACTTAAGTTGGCAGTTTGATAAATGCAAGTTAATTTAAATCTTTGTGTGCTAAAAATGCACATAAGTTCCTGTAGAGATAGTGATACAAATTCTACTTTTTTTGCCAAATAAACGAAAAGCATGTCATCAATGTCTTCTCTCTTGCTGTATCAAAATATCACCTAGCTTTCCTCGGAGATGGTCCCAATAATGTGCTTAGTCAAGTCAAATTCAGTTTGTGCATGATATAACATTTTTGTTACCGTAATACTGTATCCTAAATTGTGGATAATTAAGCTATATATCATATGCTGAAGTACATTTCTGGAGTGGTAAAGATTAAAAGAAAAAATAACAACAAGAACCGAAAAATCTGACCCTAAAACCATGATACAAACCAAACCGTGGGTTTTGTGAACCGTGCCACCCCTAGTGAGGGGGGTGAATATTTTTATAAATCATCTGTTAAATTATATTAAGCCTTAAAGTTCTGCATAATTAAGGGCGTGGCCACTTGAGTGACAGGTGGATTGTCTCTGCTGTCACTACTAGCTGTTTGTCTGCTTTCTGTTAGCCGTCACCTCAGGTAATCCCGCCTCTTTGCCCATTTTCGTTTATGTGACGTGCTGCCAAGTTGGCTACGGCCGGCTCCGCCCACTATGGGCTTCAGAAAATGCTCTTCAGAAACCTACGGGTGAAGTCACGGACACTATCCATTGTTGTATACAGTCTTTGGTTATACCGCTATGTGCCTGTTATGTGCTATTCACTTTCACAGTGATGCTAAAGATAAATGTTACGTCTACAGTCTTCATATTAACAATTAATCGACGATCGATTAATTGTAGATGATAAATGTGTTAATGACGTTGGAAAACACCGCGACGCGATCGGATCACGGAAGTTCTATAATTTTAGAACTAAAGAACTATCATGTCACTCCGTGATTACGCACATATATTTCAGCTCGTTCAAGACCACCTGCTCTAAATAAAGATATACGATCTTCTATGGTTTACAAACCAAAACCTGCCGCAAAAGCATTTTACAATAGGGGCTTTCACACCGGGTAGTTCTAGGAACTAGCCACCAGGGTGGTTCCCCGAGAACTGATGGTTCCCTTAGGAACATTTTCCTGATTGCGTTCGCACCGCCAGTAGAAACTTTGAAGTGACGTAAGCCGCACTTGTTGATGTGACTTTTATTTTGACGGCGCTGAGAACGTCAGAGCCTGAGCTCACAGTGCTCGCATTCTCAGTGTTCATTAGATTACGATCTGTCTAACAGTCCTGTCTAAGATGTTATTTGAAAGAACTGTTATACATAGAAAGTAGACAGTATATGAAAAGCTATTAGCATATGCCGTGTGGTTGATGTCCAGAAATACATAATCATGTTTGGATTGGTCTCCTCAAAGTTGCGTTGGATTTTCTCCTCAGCGTAAAGGTTAAGAGGCTAATCGACCACTGTTTTCCATGTTCGTAGAGTTAGTTTCTGGAGTAAATATATAGACTATAATCTGTGTGTTTACACAACTTTTTTAAAAATGGCGGGTGCTGGTGTTTCACGTTCGTTCGGCCAATCAGCGTACACTAACGTCACTGGTAGTTCCTATAGTGCTGGTTTAGACCCGACTCTGAAGTAGGGGCTAATTTAGTTCCTCCAAAAGGAGTTCCTAGAACTAAAATCGCTCCCAGTTCCTGCGATGCGAACGCGCCAAAAAACGGGTACTCCCGCCAATCGTTCTAGAAACTATGAAAAGATTCCTCCGGTGCGAAAGCCCCTTAAGTTACAAAGTTGTCCCTTTAAAGGTACTGCCCAAGTGACAAGCTGCTGTACCCCTAAAAGTACACGTTTTTCTGACAGCGTAATGACCAAAAATTAAAAGGTGCATGCGGTGAAAATGAGAACTCTTTCACTGTGCCATGTTTCAAAAAGGAAAGAGAGTACCATTTATTTTTAATGCACTAATTACTTCAAGCAAGTTCTAATTGTCATTGTAATGAAGGGGTGTGGACATCACTGCCACTCACATTGAGACTTCCTCATACATCTAAGAGATGTATGTACCATGTATGAACAGTTTTCAGAAAATGTTCCTCCAACTCAAAATGAACATGCTTCACTGAAGTGACGGTCGATTAGTGAAACGTTGAGGTCTCATGAGCAGCAGATTGTCTTAGCACTAGCATACTAAACAGGGTAAATAAATGGACTTTTGTGTTCTGAGCCTGTGCAAAAGATGCTATTAAAATAAAAAAACTCCCTCCATTGTGCCTGCTGAGGAGTTGTTCTCCTCCTCGATACAGCATGACAGCTCGCCCGAACGCATCATTTCCTTCACGCCCCATTGTTCTGTGTCAACAATGCGTAGCAATGAAATGCTCCTAATTTAATGGCCCTCTCACTGTTAAAGGCTCACCTCCTTTAATTAAAATAGAAGTCCATTCATTTATTCCATTTTCAGCTTCAGTAATTGTTTCTCGAATGAGTAAGCAAATAACCTGTTGAGATAATTGATGATGATACCACGGCCGAAAGAGGCAATCGCCTGGCACTGAACTCACCTCCAGAGTATTGAGTGGAATTAGAGGAAATTAAAGGGCCCCCGAACCTCCTAATAGCGCATGCATTTAACTGCAAAACTTTTTACTCAACACGACAACGCATTTATTGCTTACCAGCTCTCGCTCGCACTTCTTTTTACTCCCAGGACACAACGTATTAGTGGTGTTTGCTAAAGCAAGCATCAATTTTACCATTGCAAATAGTTTGGGATTTGAACGAACCATTATCCTTCAGGGTTTCTGCGAGCCTTAAAGTCTTAATTTGCCCTTGCACCCATTAAGGTCCTTAAAATAGTGTTAAATCAGAGCAGAAAGTCTTAAATTCATAAAGTCATGGTATTAAATGTTGCATGCGTTGCAAAACATAAATGTCTTCCTCAGTATTTTCGTCCATTTTTCCAATACAAATATCTAAATTTTTAAATCAAGATAAATTTGCTCTAAATGTAAAATGAAGTCTTGAAAAATGTAATACAATTTAAGTCAGTTTATGCTGAAAACAAGAACAAATATCAAATTAAGCTGATTTGAGCCCATTTGCTGATATTTGCTCTTGTTTTAGTCATAAACTTCATTTTGATCAATTTCACAGAAAACAAGACTTCATATTTTGTCATTTTACAACTGAAGTAAATGTATCTTGATTTAGGAATCTTTATATACACTCACCTAAAGGATTATTAGGAACACCATACTAATACTGTGTTTGACCCCCTTTCGCCTTCAGAACTGCCTTAATTCTACGTGGCATTGATTCAACAAGGTGCTGAAAGCATTCTTTAGAAATGCTGGCCCATATTGATAGGATAGCATCTTGCAGTTGATGGAGATTTGTGGGATGCACATCCAGGGCACGAAGCTCCCGTTCCACCACATCCCAAAGATGCTCTATTGGGTTGAGATCTGGTGACTGTGGGGGCCATTTTAGTACAGTGAACTCATTGTCATGTTCAAGAAACCAATTTGAAATGATTTAAGCTTTGTGGCATTGTGCATTATCCTGCTGGAAGTAGCCATCAGAGGATGGGTACATGGTGGCCATAAAGGGATGGACATGGTCAGAAACAATGCTCAGGTTGGCTGTGGCATTTAAACGATGCCCAATTGGCACTAAGTGGCCTAAAGTGTGCCAAGAAAACATCCCCCACACCATTACACCACCACCACCAGCCTGCACAGTGGTAAAAAGGCATGATGGGTCCATGTTCTCATTCTGTTTACGCCAAATTCTGACTCTACCATCTGAATTTTTCAACAGAAATCGAGACTCATCAGACCAGGCAACATTTTTCCAGTCTTCAACTGTCCAATTTTGGGGAGCTCTTGCAAATTGTAGCCTCTTTTTCCTATTTGTAGTGGAGATGAGGGGTACCCGGTGGGGTCTTCTGCTGTTGTAGCCCATCCGCCTCAAGGTTGTGCGTGTTGTGGCTTCACAAATGCTTTGCTGCATACCTCGGTTGTAACGAGTGGTTATTTCAGTCAAAGTTGCTCTTCTATCAGCTTGAATCAGTCGGCCCATTCTCCTCTGACCTCTAGCATCAACAAGGCATTTTCGCCCACAGGACTGCCGCATACTGGATGTTTTTCCCTTTTCACACCATTCTTTGTAAACCCTAGAAATGTTTGTGCGTGAAAATCCCAGTAACTGAGCAGATTGTGAAATACTCAGACCGGCCCGTCTGGCACCAACAACCATGCCACGCTCAAAATTGCTTAAATCACCTTTCTTTCCCATTCTGACATTCAGTTTGGAGTTCAGGAGATTGACTTGACCAGGACCACACCCCTAAATGTATTGAAGCAACTGCCATGTGATTGGTTGATTAGATAATTGGATTAATGAGAAATTGAACAGGTGTTCCTAATAATCCTTTAGGTGAGTGTATTTGTACTGGAGAAATACTGAGGAAACATCACTTTTTTTGCAGTTTGTCCACAAGGTACTGGAAAAATGATTTCCATATTGTTGTGGTTTTAAGCAAAACGATTCAAGCTTTTTTTGTGAAATTAATTAAAAAGTAACATCTGTTGGGAAGATACATTTTCAAATTCTAAAGTGTTTCTCCTTAATTTTAAATTTAGAGAACATAATTCCTAATAATCCCTTCAATTTATTTCGTAAATGTTCGATACTTGGTCTTAAATTTACCTTCATAATATCTGCAGAAACCCTGTATTGAAATGTTTTGTAAAATAGTTTTTAGCAACCTAAACTCATTGGAAAAACCTATTTTCACAAAACATGCCTATACACACAATTCACTGCATTTTCCAGTTGAAATGAACACTAGTGGCAGTAAAACTTTTACCATAGGGAATGATTTATAAACTTTCACATTTGTACCAAATAACCAGCTCCAAATGAATGCTCTTGCGATGTGCAGCGCCTCGGTACGAGTTCCATGAAATGCAATTTAAGATAAAAGCGCTCAAAGACTTGTCAAAGCAAGCTAAAATGGCCTGGTTGCTTCAGCAAATGTGTTTTTATTTTATGTTTGCTTTAGTGTAGGTGGGATGATTAGCATTAACCTTTTAGCGCCACACACCAATTCTTTCACAAACTGCCTCAATATGTACAAACAACCAACGTAATAAAACATTGCCAGATTCACGTTCAAACATATCCGGCTTTTAGCACCACTCACTTTGAATGTGTCACAAAGTGTGTAAACGTAATAACATTTAGCTGAAATGCCGCCTCAGGGACACATTTCCAATATGCCTGGGCTGGTTTTTATCATGTTGTTTTTTTCCAGTGAATTGCTTGCATTTTGTTTGACTTTTTCTTTCTTTCTTTCTCTATCTCAGGGTCCACTGCCAGTTGGTCACGCTGTTCGCGAGAGGAATCGAAGAGCAGCCGGTGTTTGAGGACCCGTACCCTCACTGTGCAATATAGATCTCCATGAATTCACTTAAGAAACCTCCAGCTGGAACATGAAGGATTGAGATTCTTTGAATGGAAGAGTCACCTTCAGCTCAGCACAATGTCATGCTGTTATATCTAGATAATCCTCGTGAAGATGCTTTGGAAACACAGAGCTGGAGTCAACAGCATCTTCATAGCATCTTTATACAGGCTGTATTAGATTTGTGTCGGATGGGATAAGCTGCTTCAGCTAGGCATTGGTATTGGTTTTTTTTTTTTTTTTTTTTTTTTTTTTTTTTTTTTTTTACCCTTGAAGTCCTTGAAGTTGCTGGTGATTTCTCTTGTTGTCTGCGACAGCTCCCAATTGTCGGCGTTTGTCTTCCACCGCGGTCAAGCTGGTCTTGAGAGTAGCGTTAATTGAATTCCAAAGTCATATTCTTGAAACTGTGAGATGTTTTGGTTATGTAAACATTCCTCTTGGTAGCACCTTTGCTGTTTTGTCTAGATATAAAGCACGCGAGGTGGTCAGCCGATAAAGATAATGGTATACCAAAAAAAGGTTGTGGTTTGTGTTCGTAAAATAAATAAAAATCTAAATTCTGACATTTACTAAAGTTCCAAACAAATTTTGCCCATTTTGTTCTTTTTGGCAATGTTGGTATTGTTAACTAAAAAAATTATCAAAAATGTTTTTGGTATTTAAAACAAATCTGAAATAAAATGAAATGAAATAAATATTAGATGAAAAATGAAGTTTTGAGTTATAAATAAGTTATGAAATACAAATAAATTCAAGCTACATAGAAATCTTTTAATAAAATATATACTAATAAAAATGAGAAAAACACCAAAAATTACTAAAATTTAATTTAAAACAGAAAATATAAGGGGGCTTTTGAAAACGGATTTCAAAGAGCATGTTTTTGAAAACGATGCCGTTATCATCTGTGTAAACTACAGAAACGTGAATTTGTGAAAACAGTGACGTCGCACGCATTACGTGTTCAGTCCGTAAGAGCATAGAGTTTCTTTACATCGCCAACTACTGGCCTGGCATGAATAATACAGCGTTTTTAGTCGTTTTGGCGGATCCGTCTGAACGTGCAAACGTTCCCTTCGGTATATACAAACTTGTCTTGTTCAATTTGGTTAAGACTTACGTTATTTTGGAAAAAAGTAGCTACGACATTTTGCTAAATCTCTCTTTTTTTGTGTGTTTTACTAAACGTCATACAGGTTTGGAACAACATTGGGTGAATTTTTTATGAACCGTTCCTTTAAAAAGTTAGCATGAAGTAACATGTAGATAGTGTAGCCTACATCAAATCAAATCTACACATGATTAGTAACATCATGTTATTTATTTAAAGGCAACATTTACTGTTATTATTCAAATGGAACGTCCAATCAGTATGAATCCACAAAAAAAAAAAAAAAACCACACCTCTTAGATGTTTGACCAACTCTAATTCTAACTTTCCCACTCTTACCACGGTCAGTTTTGTTTTCTGGACATTTCATGCATGTAAATGTAGCATTAGTGAGATGGACTACAAGAGTAACACTGCAGGGTCAGTGTACATAGTGTTCATCAGACAGAATGTAAATGAAAATACAGTAGCGCTCTGGTTGCGTCCCTCCCCTCGAGAACGTTTCCTCTTTTATAATGAATTCTATGTTTGTTTTCTTCTGCCGACGTCTTATTTCTTCTGAAAGATCTTATTGGTCTTGCAGTATCAAAGGATGAAGGAGTTTATGACAGACAGAGAAATTGCTTTTTCGCCGTAGTGCATGTCAGCCGCTTTAATATGCATTTTTTTTTAAAAGTTGTTCCTTGAGCTGTGCTAGTGATTGAGAGCGTTGGTTTCCCATGATGCATCTGTAGAGGATACACATGTTCTGTAGCAATTACAAACAAAATGTTCATGTCCTTCATAGACTGGAAGATTGTATGGAAGCTTATTTCCACCACATTATGATTAGAAACAAAAATCATGCTTTGGCAAATTATAATTATGATATGAAAAATTCTTTAATTTATTGTATTAATTTTTCTTGTCATAATTAAGACCTATTGCCAGTTTTTGTCTAATAATTGTGTAAGTAATTAGGATTTACCAAAGAACTACACTTACCACACTTTTTTTTTTCTTCCTTAATTTATTGTTGAGAAATATGACCCAGATATTTCTTGACGGTTGTGATGATATCCACCCATATGTACTAAATTAAGACCATGGAAATGATATCTGTGTATGCAATCCTAGAGCTTCCAAGAGCCTCTGCTGTTATGAATTGTGAACTGTGGCTTGCTATTCTTGTGTGTGAACAGTATTTGTGTCGTGTGTAGTATTAGCCTCATGTCAAAGCTTGTGTATTTGACACCTACTCCTGTTTGACAGCCCACTTCAGCCCTAATCAAACCCATGCTGTGCCACCAACTTGCCCTACTGATCCAAAGATATCAATCACAACCCATTTTAATCACTTGAATGTGGCTACGTTTTTGATTTGCATCGCCCTGGTGGCTGCTGGTCATTGATGGCTCGTGACAGGTGACTGTATAATCTACTGCAATGGTTATCCAGTGTGTGTTTCCAGCAGAAAGCACTTGTCTAGGCTCTGTGATGACTGAGAGTGAAGTCATCTTGCAGGACTCGAGATGACGTGTAAGACCTGACGTTTAATTTGATTTGTTGAATGAAAACAAAGAAAATCCGCTAATAAAGTTTATCAAACAACCTTTAGTGTCCTGAGTGGTCCGTTTTGATACGAACGTGGCCAGAATCATATATAATTGCAATAAAATTTAATTAAAAAAAAGCCTATTTGAGGACTATTTTCATGATGATTCAGTGCATATTCCGTTCTCATTACTACAATGCAGAACTAACAATTTTTTTTTTTTAATCACTGGTTTTACTTCAGGACCTTCATTTTAGGCGATTCAAAATTGTTCATGTACAAAACTAAACAAAAATCCTTAAAATCAATCATTAAGAATAGGTTACCATGTTGTTGTTCTTCCTGTATGGTTTCATATTCTTGGCAGTCAATAATTTGTAGTGCAAAACATATTTTAGTTAGCACAAACTATGTTTTTCCTTGGGTGTCAAGGCTGAGGTCATGTCACGCAACCTGTCCATGTCTACATCCACCTGATTTGACTAACTTTTAATAAGTGACACATGAATTTGTGCCAAAGCACCATAGATTACCTTAAAATACCATATTATTTGCATCAATTATTGTTTTTCCCTGCTGTGCACATCCCTGTCAGAACACACCTGTGCCCTAATTTTTGGGTCTTCAAACCATTGTTTGAGCATCGTAGATGTTGCAATCAAACTAATTTTTGGGTCTTCAAACTCGCGTCCATTGTTTGAGCATCGTAGATGTTGCATCAAAGTCCTCCTGGAAATTTCCGTATTTATGAGTTGGGAAGTCGGGATTATGACGTCAAGTGTATTGAAATCGCTTTAGAAAATCACAGAAAAATACAGGAGTTTTAACTCTACTTCTACAAAAGTATTCATTAAAAATATGCACATCGCTTTTGTTGATGTTTTTATTCAATTTATGAAAGTGATGTAAATGCGTTTTTTTATTTAGTACATGCATCTTGGTTATTGCACATTAAAAAAATGATTCATTTTCAACAAATAAAGCTATTACTTCTGCCATATTTTCTTACAGACATGCCCCCCACTTGGAAACTCAAGGCTCAAAGTTACTCATTCATAACTCAGACATACACAGTAACACTTTATTTTACAGTGTCCTTGTTACATGTGGGAGATTCTCACGAAAGCTTGGTTTTAAAAATTTTAAACATGAAAATTAAAAAAGGCTTGAATTAACAAAAAAATAAATCATTACATCATTACATGTACTTACCATAGTAATAACAGTAAGTTATGCATAATTACATGCAACTAACCCTTAACCTAATCCTACCCTAACCCTATAGTAAGTACATGTAGTTGCTTAATATTACTCAGTACTTAAATATATAATTACACTGTAACAATGACACCTTAAAACAAAGTGTAACCACATACACTATATTGCCAAAAGTTTTGGGACGTCTGCCTTTACATGCACATGAACTTTAATGACATCCTATTCTTAATCTGTAGGGTTTAATATGGAGTTGGCCCACCCTTTGCAGCTACAACAGCTTCAACTCTTCTGGGAAGGCTTTCCACAAGGTTTAGGAGTGTGTTTATGGGAGTTTTTGACCATTCTTCTAGAAGAGCATTTCTGAGGTCAGGCACTGATGTTGGACGAGAAGGCCTGGCTCGCCGTTCTATCAGGTTGAGGTCAGGACTCTGTGCAGGACAGTCAAGTTCCTCCACACCAAACTCGCTCATCCATGTCTTTATGGACCTTGATTTGTGCACTGGTGCGCAGTCATGTTGGAACAGGAAGGGGCCATCCCCAAACTCTTCCCACAAAGTTGGGAGCATGAAACTGTCCAAAATGTATTGGTATGCTGAAGCATTAAGAGTTCCTTCCACTGGAACTAAGGGGCCAAGCCCAACCCCTGAAAAACAACCCCTAACCATGATCCCCCCTCCACCAAACTTTACACTTGGCACAATGCAGTCAGGCAAGTACCGTTCTCCTGGCAACCGCCAAACCCAGATTCGTTCACCCCATTCCATGAAGCTCTCTACGCACTGTTCTTGAGCTAATCTGAAGGCCACACGAAGTTTGGAGGTCTATAGCTATTGACTGGAGAAAGTTGCTGACTTCTGTTGTTCCCAGTTGCTTCCACGTTGTTATAATACCACTAACAGTTAACTGTGGAATATTTAGTTTTCACAAATGGACTTATTGCACAGGTGGCAACCTATCACGGCACCACGCTTGAATTCACTGAGCTCCTGAGAGCGACCCATTCTTTCACAAATGTTTGTAGAAGCAGTCACATGTCTAAATAATGAGGCTGTAAAACTGGACAGTGAGTAGATGAGTTTCCACTTTTGGCTGATAACGTCTCGTACCTTTTTTGTCATGTTATGATTCACCTCGTAGCTGGTTGGCTGGGATCATGCCTTCTACTAAGACATTGTGGTGGACTTGTTGGAAAAACCAACAACATTTTGGTAAAGTTCATGTGCATTAATCTCGCAAAAAAATTATCTTTCCGACAAGACGTGAATGCACAATTATATGTTTTGAAAGCTCCACAGAGACCGTGTTTACATTATTTGAGTGCGAATCAACGTTCAAAACGGCTACGAATATTTGCATATTCAATTTGGATATGAGAAAGCATTACACA